TGGTCTGAATTGGACCGTCTGTCTTTCTTTGTGTTCCCTCTCTTCTCCCTCTCTACAAAATCCTAGACAGTCTTATTTTGGGGATCTTGAATATATTAGATTTGTGTTGTTACATCTGTTTCTGCCTGATGTCTGGGCCTTGTCTTCTACCGTTCCGCTTCTTCCTGCAGCCTTATATTTCCCCGTCTCATATTTTCGTTCTCACTTTCACAGTCTGCTCTACCTCTCTTCTTCTTTTCACTTTCTACTCTATATCTGTTGTCTTACCATAAAAATGAATGAATGAAGGATTGCTTTCCTTCCCAAATCCTGAAAGCTACCCATTAAACTGGTTCCCAGGCGTATTGTTAAGGTGCGCACGCACACAAACACACACACACACACTTACAACCATTTCCACCCCTGGGTGCCCCTGTGGTCTGTTTGCCATTGGCCCTCTGACCCCTGTTCAGAGCAGTAAATTACAGCCATTTAGCTAATGAAGCAGGTCATTAGAAGCTGATTGGGCCGTGTGCGTGTGTGTGTGTGTGTGTGTGTGTGTGTGTGTGTGTGTGTGTGCGTGTGTGTGTGTGTGCACCGCCTTTGTGTGTTTGTTTGGTCTAAGAGAGGAGCGTTTGCTCTGTCGCCAAGATAAACGAGGTGTCCGTGTGGTGTGTGTTTGTTTGTTTGTGTGTGTGTCCTTAGGTGCGTGTGTGTGGCTTTTTGTAGCCGCGGGTTTGTCGGTCTGCTGCAGTCACCCAACTTCTGAGGGCTGATCCGCTGGTTAAAAGCCAGAAGATTGTGCTACAAAGTGGCACTGCTACACGGGTTCAACCACGTATAATTGTCTGCATCCTTCTTAAGATGCTGTGTGCCAAGAAACCATAAACACACACTGGCCAGGGGCCTGCCTGCATAGAAAGGGGCCGTACCATGTGGGGTTACTAAGGAATATAAGAAAGCCATATTTCACTGCTGTTGAACGGTTACTTTTTGCCCTGCAGATCTCCTTTAGAAGTTAAAGAGAGCAGGTAAAACTCCATTATTATCTGTACAGGGAATCTGCTTCTGTTACAGATTTTCTCCGGCTCTCTGAGGAGATGAGTAGAAACTTAGAGCTGCTGAGTGAAACGTGTGATCCAAGGCACAACCAGATTTATTATTACCAGCCTCTGTTTGTTTTTTTTTGTGTTTTGAAAAAGCTTGATACAAGAATGAAATTTAAACTAAGCTTTCAGAATAGATGTGATGTGACATGTGGGAACCACAGGTCCCCCGACTGGTCAGTAATAGCTGTTCTTGCACTTTAAAATGAAAATGAATCTATGTTCAAAGATGTAGCTCGTGCTTTTGAAGACAAAGTTGGACTAATTATTTCAATATGTTTATTGTTTTATGTTCACATCATGAAAGTAATCCATCAAATCAACGGCAGACTTGCAGCAGTCTGTTGGTAGGAGAAGAACCGGGATTTTCTAGCTTTCACAGTGTTCCCTTAAGGACTTTATATTCCTGTGTTCTTCTTTTACTCTGCACTGGAGGCTATTTAAAGGAGAATGCTTCTGTGTTCAATGGTACTCTGTCTGCATGGTGCTGGATAGCAGCAGTTAAAGCGATAGTTGGCTTTTTGTCGGTGGAAACGGGGCGATGCTAACTTCTGAGGTTGTCCAAGTAAACATCGATTATTTTAAATTGGCCTTCCTATTAGGTGGCTAAAGCACGTTGCGCTGCTTTCCTGTCCACAGCAGTGCATTGCTTTGCTCCCGTGTCAGTATTCCTGTCTGTTTCTCCAAACTGGGGCAAGCCGAGGGCCATCTACTGTAGGTAATACGCTGACTACATAAGTACCTTGTACAACCCAACTTCAAATAATCCAAACTATCCCTTTAAGCCGTAACATGTCCTTTCCTTTCTCGTTAGGAAAGCCCAGTCTTTAGTCACGGTGTCATTTATGTATTGAGTGTAAACACTTGTACACAAGTGTTTCCAAGCTCAGCTCCATTGTCCACTGACAGTGTGACTGTTTGTGTCATGTTTCACACATATTGATTCCAAAAGACTGGTTACTAAACATCCATTTATGTATTCTCTCATTCTAAAAGCTGTATCCACACGGGGACCACGTAAAGTATTTGTGAAGTCTTGCTGCTAGCTTCTATCTTAATCTAATATGTATTACGATATATTCCTTGTGTAAGTCTATAAGAAAATTTAATCATTTTGGTGTCATACTTGTGTTAGCTCTATATTTGTATAAAGCCCCTTAATAAGGTATTGAATGTGTAAAATCTAAGATAAGTATTCGGCACCCTCCAAAACAAGAGTGCTAATTAAATAATTGGCTTGGCTAATTCCTAATTCACTCCGTAATTTTAAGTGCTCTGTATATCTTCATGCAGGCTAGTTAAATTCAGCCTGTTTTTCCGAGGATTAACATTATTTTAATTGACTTATAATCACGCATTGCTTCCCATTAAGGCCCTTTTTAAAAACCATAGCCTCTACAAGGGTGATAAAACCCACAGTAGTTGCTCATGCTATGCAATCGATTTATAAAGGATTCATAAAAACCAGTGTTTCCTGCTCATGAACAACTCTATACAATCAAGGCTATGAGGATGTTGCATAACCACACGTTCCAGTTAACTATAAATCAATAATACTGAACGCACAGTTTAAACATTTCTAAATCTAATTGTACAGACAGAAAATGATTTTAATTCAATTGTACCAACTGTTCCTACACTTTCTAGTCACACACACACAGGCATGCATACACTTCTCAGCCGCCCATACTGTATGTATAAAGGGAAGGCTGACGGTCTCTTCTTCTTCACACTGGCCTTGCAGAGCTAGTTTTCCTCTGGTGGAAGTCCATTCAGAAGCAATCTGTACAAACGGGAACACACTCACAAGCGCTGAAGCGTTCTCCTGGTCTGTTGTTTCAGTTGTGGCAAAGTTCAGCCCTATTGCCGAGCAGATTTTGATGTTGTTTTCCGAAAGCGCAGCGAGGCAAACTATACGCATGCCAATCGCTACTGCTACACTCTACAAGCCTGCCTTCGTTTTTTGTTTTTTTTCTTCCTGCATCTGTAGGAGTGGAGCAGCTGTTTGCAGACTGATTTACGAGTGCAACATTATGAGATTTAATAACATAGCTTTGGGCTTTATGACCTTTTATGAGAGTGTGTGTCTACATTCAGCTAACGGATGTAACGTTATAGGCTATCCACTGCCAAACACCATTTACCTCCCTCCAGCACGTACGGAGCTAGATTTCTCAGAGATGACGATGAAAGTGATCGAGTGTGACTGAAAACGGAAAGAGAGGGATTGCCAACTTTTTTTTATCCAATCGGGGGAGTGATTGACATGTTTAGAAGATTGAAAGCAGTACATTTGGGATTATGTTAGCAGTGACTTTTTGGTTTTCTAAAGTAACTCTTGTACAGAGTTAGATGTTTGAGCACATTTACAGGTATATATGTGTCTCAATAAAACTGTCAGCATCGGGAGACTCTGTGGAAAAGTCCCTGTTACATGCTCCCAGTGCTCTGCTCAGTTCTAGCCATCAGAATATGTTGCTCGTCATCCCATCCTTTTCCTTCTACACTGTATAAAGTTATGCAACAAGTTTTGCTCGAACCACCACTACTTCTGCTAGTGTCTTGCAGTGACATTTTCAAAACATTGCAACAAGAAACGGAAGCATAACGGATACGTTTGAAAACTCCGGGGTTACTTCCTATTGTGGACGAGCGTAAACGGATAAGTTGCAAACGATGGCGTAGACACCCGCGGATTGGTTCTTAGCAGTCACAATGTGTCCTTCACTGATTCGTCACGCCCCTATCACGTGAAAATCACAAACAACATCCTTGATTATCGATCGACTACCAGGTTAATTCAACATGGACAACTGGTTACAGGCGTTGCTGACCTTGTTGTCTTTACTAGCAGCTGCTGTCCAGTTAAAGTCTGCATTTATGCGAAGGGAAGCAGCTGTTATTGGAGCGATTAGCGGACAGCGTGACCTACGAAGCAGATGTCTGAAGTCACGGTTAGCGGCTTTGAGATGGACGACGGACACAAAACGGGGGCCTTGCCTTTCCTTATTCATGGTTATTTTGTTTTGCACAACAATAGCAGTAATTGCTCTCCAGTACGACAGAGACTGAGAGTGAGAAAACAGACAACGAAACTGAGAGGGAACGAGTGAGAGACGCGTGTTGACCACATTTATGGACTCATAATCTAGTAAACGTTTGTGTAAGTGTTCCTTTAAAGTAAGTTTGATGTGTGTGTGTGTGTGAGAGAGAGCGATAGAGCAAGACCCGCAGCGAAGATTTTAAGTATCAAGCACTGTTTTTCATAATTAAAGACTATATTACACTGTCGTATATTTTGTTTCACCCGCATGCCCGGTGTACGTGAATAGTCACGTGATATTCGTTTTAAGGCGTGCTGGTATGAACGGAAACGATGCCGACAGATCGGTTTTTTTTTAAAAACGCATGTATAGCCTAAAGTCAGATCCAGTATAAATGCAGTTTAAGTAAAACTGTCAACGCTTTGCAAACCATGTGAACATTGTGATGTTTCATGTGTCATGTTTCGTGTGTGTGTGCGCAAATGCAACAATGGAGCCACTATGTGCAGAGCAGTTTACAAAGCTTCAATAGGCCACCAGAGGGGATAATGACAGCAGCACAATCACTATTATTCACAAATGCTTTGGCAGCTTCTATTTTTACATTAATACTTCACTACTCATTTATTGAGGTTGATTCATCTGTAATTTCAGAGATTAGAATGGAAAAAAGAGACTTTTTGCTGGGGGTCTCAAAAAAGGTGTTGAGTGGGAAACAGAATTACAGCAAAGCTGTGTTTTTCAGTGCCCGTTTCAAACTCTAATTATTTCCCTTTTCTCGCTCTCCCTCCTCCCCCAACCTACCTCTTTATTATTCATCTCCCCGTCTCTGTACCCTTTCTCCTCCTTTCCTACACCTCTCTACACTCAGGTTCATCAGCCCTGCCCAGCAACATGGCCTACTTCGGAAGCTCCCAGGAGGAGGAGGACCTGGAGGACGATGAGGAAGAGGAGGAGGAGGAGGTGGTGAGGAACGGAGGTGGGATCCACTCTCAAGGTGGGGGAACCAACAGCCAAGTGTCGGCCTCCTCCTCCTGCCACTCAACACCCCGCAAGGGCAAGTTCCCCACCAGGCAGCCCCTCAACGGGCACGGTAAGGGCAGGAGAAGAAGAGGTAGAGGTAGAGGTAGAGGTAGAGGTAGAGAGAGGTAGAGAGAGGTAGAGAGAGAGGATGATGCACCAGTAGAATAACTAAAGAGAAATGGAAAGATCCATTTTTGGGAAAAAAAGAGTGATTGATGAGAAATGCAACTGAGGAAGAGAACAACTTTGGCCAAACAGGAGCACAAAATGAGTCATGGGACAGTGGACAGAGTGGTAGTGCTTGTTTCTGTGTGTGAACGTGAGCAATTTCCTAAGTTTGCACTCTTGTTTTTTCCACTGCAGAGACAGGGTAAGTCACATGGGTTAGCATAGCGGCACATCAACTCTTTCCACCCCAATTAACACTTGGCTTGCTAAGACCTAACAAGGTGTTTATGTACGCACTGCAACAGCTGACCAGGGCCCTCGACACACACACACACACGCACACACACACACACACACACACACACTGAGCTCAGTGACAGCATGCGTATACCCCTTGGGGCAAGTAGACATTTGGACGAATACACAGACTCACAGTTGTGCACAACATTTAGGAAGTTGCATGCATGCAACTGAGCCCATAAAACGAATCTCACTCCCAATCCAAAGATTGATGACTGTAAAAACAAGTGCGCTGCATCTTGTCAAGTGATTTTTGTTTTGTAATCCAGAAAACGTTTTTTTTTAACTAATAATCTTACTTCACAGGCAGATTTTAATAATTAAGACAATCAGGCTTTTGAGGCTCAATCATGGATGAAAACTGATAAGATGGAGACCTTTCTTTGCAGTGTAAAAGGTCTAACGTGTACTTATTTCATAGGATCCATAATATTGCTCCTAGAGGTTTTTATTTGAACAAAGCAACAGAGAAACGATTTTAACCTGGAGGCCCTCCCTCCCTGGCAGACTTTAGAGACACACAATTCTTCCGGCCAGGCGTTTCCCCCACAAAACAACGGCTGGATTTTATGGTTCCTCCTTTTTCGCCCTCCTTGAGACTCTCCCTCCCTCCTTAGTCGGTAGAATCGCCGCGAGAAAGGTTCAAAAGGTGAGCGCTTTGCTCAGCTCTTTCCTCTGTCATCCTCTCAAGTGGAATGTGGAGGAGGAGAGAGACTGGTGGGATGAAGAGAGGAGGAGGGAGAGGGGTCCACTGCCTTTGTATCTTTCACTGACAAGTGTCTACCACCCAAAACAAGCATAAATACATACTCATTCTTTCATGAACATCTGTAGCTGCAGCTTGAAACATAAACTGTACATTTGCACATATCTGCAGAAGGAGCACGAACTAGGATAGTGAAACCTGTTTGAACAAATCCGGGCTTGTTGTGTGCATGAGGACAGCTTTTGTCTCCTTTCTTATCTCGTATACCAACACTGTTTGCAAAGCAGCTCGGCGCCTTCACTGTGATATACTAAATAAATAGATAAGAGGGAAATAAGCAGATATACTTTGTAGGGAACAATAGAGATGGGGGGGGGGGGGGGGGTATAAACACAGAAAAACAGACACACACACACACACGCACACGCGCACACACACACACACAGGTGTGTATACACACACACACACACACACACAGGTGTGTACACTCAGTCAAGACAGGGTCATTGCTCCAGTGTTGAGACAGTGTTTGTGCCGTGTTGGGTATCAGGCACACACACAAAGAGAGATAAACACACACACACCCCTCAGTACATTTTGTGGTTTTAAGATTGGTGTCAAACGTCACACTTTAATACGCAGCTTGGGCCACCCTCCAGCAGGGTTATATGGGCTCTGAGGGAGGAGGGAGGAGGAGGAGGGGGGGGGAGGAGGGAGGAGGAGGAGAGAGGAGGAGAGAGGAGGAGGAGGGGGAAACAGTCGAGGAATAGGAGGAATAGAATTAGTGAAGGAGAGAGAAGCATTTTATTCTGGGAGGTAAAGCGAGACAGGAAAGGCCCTACATTGTAGGCCATTCATCAGCGCGCCGTCTCTCCCACTCGGCCGTGTGCCATGTTGACATTGCTAAATTAAACAGCTTTTATTGGGCTCCGTTTCTTGCTTAGCTCACTTCTCAAAATGTCAGGATTTCTCTAATTTTTCATAGAGCTGGGGGCCCGAGAGACTCGCAGGCGCTCAATTGGGGTTATGAGTAGATACAGTATAGCACATACACACGCGTCTTCTGTAGACCAAAATGTGCACACGTATCATCATCATGCTGTGCATTGCACGTGTGCTGTAAATGCTCTGTGTTTGTGTGCCTCGGCCTCCCGTCATTCTTTCCATACAGCTGATAGTACGACGCCATGAAACTTTGAATTGAGACTCATTAAAGCTGAAGAGGGAGCTATTGAATGCGTTTGTCAATTACCACGCTCCCGTTGGACCTGTTTAACGTCATCCCCAGGGGTTGGTGAAGTCTGCGTCCATTTTGAACAGGTTCTTTGACATGTAGTATAAAGACGTTTTCATACGCACCTTAAATCATGCATATTTTACTGATTGGGCACTATTTGTTAGCCAAAAGCCTGTCACTCCTTTTCCACTTGGTCGTTGTGGTTTGGTGTGCAAGGGGTTCATATGTCATTCTGCACTACAGGGGGGGTATTGAGACTTATGTCCACATATTGGCATTGGCATTGGCATAGGTAGACGGTAGCCTGAGAAAACATAGTATATGTCCGAGGGTATTTATGCCTTGCTACCTGATAGGAACTTTCCACAATATCCTGTTTTCTTTACAGTGGCTACATTTTTTTAATTTTATTTATTTATTTATTTTACTTTTAACTTGTGCACATTAGGAATTAGGAACTAGGTTGCAGAACTTGGAAAAAAAAAATGTGTAAATGTACCCTTTAAATTCCTAAGTGAATCATGCCAAGCTTCAATGCAGAGTGTCATGTTGCTGCACTCCTTGCAGAGTACTAAATCTAAGAAGAAGCTCAAACTCTCTCCATTATTTTTGAAAGTATATTTCATATACTGGGAGCAGATAGACAACTACAACCAGTAAGCTTCATCAGTGATCCCTGGTCCCGAAACAGTACAATGTTGTTTCCTCATTTAGCTCTATTAAAGATGGTGTATGAAAAAAACATTTCTGCTAAATGCCATCTCGGCAAAATTCAAATCTAATTTCATGTATGTGAATAGCCACTTCAAGCTAAAAAGAGATCTGTCCCTAGTTGTGTTTGGTTTCCTCCTCCTCCCACATTAAGAATGATAAAAGAAGCACACCTGACTCTTCTCTCCCCCCCCCCCCCTTCCAGTTTTCAACAGCCACGGTAAAGCAGGGACCAGGGAGAGTCCGAGGCCCAAGGCGGGAACTCATGTCAGGGACGCGCCAGCCCCCCCGCTGCCACCTCCGCCGCCTCCACCTCCGCCCCTACTGAGGGAGCGCAGTGAGCGGGCGGAGGCACGGGAGCACACGAGGCAGCAGGCCCTGGCCAGCAGCAGAGGCTCAGCCAACGGGCTGCCACCGAGGAGAGCTGCTGAGGAGCTACGCAAACAGGTACTGTATGGCCAGGAGCAGCCAGTATTATAATTTCAAAGCCATAATATGCTAGATATCTTATGGAAAAGAAAAGGATGAAAGCATGTCTATAGCTTCCTCAGCAGACCTTGGAAAATGTGACGGTAGCGTACAGAGAAAGTATTCTCCAAAAGGGAACCTTCTATGGCAGATGAATGGTTTGCATTAGCTGTTACACTTGAGATGATATGGAGTTTTCTGTATTTATTGGCTCGAGGTGCAGCATGCTTTTTTGTCCATTATGCGTACTTGAAATCCTCCCCTCTCCTGACTCTTATTCTCATTTTCCCATCTGTCACATCCTCTTTTTTTTATCTTCTCTCAATGATTTATCCTAACTACTCTTGTGCCTTTCTTCTCCCCTTTCTCTACTTACTTTTAGTTGCTGATTTCCTCCTTTGCCTTGTCCTCTGTGCGCTTCCTTTTCCTCTCCTCTCCCCACCATGTATTGTGTCTGGGAGAGTAATGATTGTGTTTTGGCCTGCTGCGACTGCAGCTATATTTAGCAATGCTGGCTAGGGCCTGTGAAGGCCTTCCTCCCTCTCCGTGGCACGTAGCAGGTCTCAAGGAACCCCACAAAGTGAAAGAAGAAGAGGAGGAGATGGTAGAAAGGGGACAGAGGTGGCTTTATTCAGAAAACCTGCATTCGTATGATCACCACATTTCATTCTGTCTTTTTCTCTCTATAATCTATTTTGCTTCCTTTCTGTCCTCTTTCCTATTTCCTTTTCGGCCTTTTCCTTCCTGTTGAGTGTCAACCTCCTATCCAGCGCTATTGTTGCTGTAATGTGCTGCCGCCGATGCAGACTCAGGCATGTGCTTCAGGTTTTTCCGAGTGGCTGGAATTGTCCAGCAAAACCAACAATGCCTCTCAATGAGAGTGACTGCCTGCCAAGCCAAACTTCAGCTCCACTAACTCACTAGTCTTTGTTCTATCACTCTTCCTCTACTCTCTTTCTGTTTCAATCCGCTGCTGGCACCCTGCTTGATTCTTTTGACTCCTGTCGTGGTGTGTTTTTTTGACTTTGCTCTCATTCTACCTTCCTCTTGTTGCATCTCTCTTGCTCTCACTCTCTCTCTCGCTCTCTCTCTCTCTCTTTCTCTCTCTCGGCTTCTGTGTCAAAGAGACGGATCTTGCCCTTGACAACATGGCTCCAATCATTTGGAAGGATTAGTGCTTCTTTTTTTTTCTCCCCCTCGCTCTCCCTTCAATTAGCATGAACAGTATGTGTGTTAACCATGTGTGCTCAAGACTCGCACACATTTATACACACGACCCACTGCGAAAATACAGGCTAAGCCATATAAAAGGTTAAGTGATTATGTAGCTGTAAAAAGAGTGTGTGTGTGTGTGTGTGTGTGTGTGTGTGTGTGTGTGTGTGTGTG